CTAAGCGTCCCACAGCCAATGAATGAAAAAGTACATGTGTGTAGTCACTGTGTTTTGTATCATTATTATATTAGGCATTGTATGATGTGATAGATTCGTAAAAATGATATCAGACACCCCTAAAAAGCAATAGAATCACCCAAGCCCAGAATGCATTGTACGATCTAGTTACCTTGGTTACGCATGCGTGAGCAGTGCGCATGTGCGCCATATATAAATAGCCCGCGTCACTTCAAGTCTAATAACAACGCCAGTAACAACGCCAGCTAGTACCTCTAAACCACACTCGGAACTTGGATTTACAAGCTTGGAGCCTGACTAGTGTGAAGCTGCCGATCTATCATGGTACAAAGGTATGAATTTTGTCCAATAATGGTCAGTTTTAGTGGTTACTTGTTGGTTAGGCCGTAATGTTTGGCATAGTTTTACTTTTTAGCGTCTTTTCGTACGACTTCTTCTCCTCATTGTTCTCCGTTTTCCTTTTTCGTTTTGTGTGCTTTTGATAGTTGTGGAAAAGTCGACCATCAAGAAAAGTGCATTGTAAAAGACGTAAAAACACACGAAAAGACGCTAAAAACCGGCTCCTAAAAACCGTAACAAATCTCTTGTAAACTAAAGTGGTAGCGAGGAAAAGAACATACGTGCAAAACACCGTTGTAGTGAGCAAAAATTATGTACGCCCGTCCCGTGTCGCGACGATCTCAAAGACAACGTTGTACACACTTACCGGTCGATTCGGTGATATGTCTTATCAAAATAGGTCCGTTAAAAATATAAATACATCGCTGTTCTCCCGCTCGTTGTGCGTGCCCACGGAAACCTCGTTTATTTTGAGCACGTCTTTGAACTGATTTGGCCGACAGGTCCCTCCGCGCACCCATGTAGTAAAAATGCCCGGCCTTCGGTCGCACATTATACGGTCGCAAAATGCGTGTCTACCTGGCTCTTAGTGAGGAAATACACATGCGGGTAAATTTGGGACGCCTCGAGGAAATGCACGCAACGGTAGTTAGTCAGGCTCGGTCCGGCATTACGGCGTTCTGCCCTCCACTTTTGCGCCCACAAGATGCGTGTTTACTCGGTTTGTAGTGAGGAATTCCACGGGCGTGCAAGGTCAGCGCAGCGCGAGGACATACACGCGTGCGAACTCAGCACAGCGCGAGGAACGGCACGCGTGCAAACAATCGCGGAAATGAGTATCGGCACGCGTGCAAACCGACGTAAGTTGAGTAACCTCACGTCGTGCAAAACCTCGTTTCGGGTACCCAAAATATAGCTCACTCAAGCTGAGATCCATAACTGGGCACAGAAGGTGAACATGAAAAGCTCATTTATGATATGTACTCCACTCCAGACAAGTAGTTACTGTAGTATACTATGTAGTATATTACTTGGTGTACTGGTACAGTACCGCGGAAATTGATTAGGTTCAGATCCAAAATATTGAATAGCTAAGTACAGGTAGACTGTATTGATAAAATTTATAAATCTACACTACCTTAGTGGCCTCATGCAACACAGAAATGACCAAAGTAGAGACAATGAACAAGGTACATAACTAAGTCATGAGTATCAGTGTAAGAGTGTAAAAACATTTCCTTCCTCTAATACTAAAAGTTCTGTCCTGTTTTATTTGAGTAAGGCCACACCAATTTAATTTCTTGGTTAACGGATTTTTCTAGACAAATAATGGAGCGGGCGGGCGAAAAAAAAAAAAAAAATAAAAACAGGCCTAGGCATCCTATTATGGCCCAAAATGGTACGATAGGAGCCATGAAGTCAACACACCAGGCTGGTTCAAAATCTAAACAATGAATTTTGAACTTTAAATGATACTATTGCATTGAAAGATGGAATGACTGTAACAAGTAGTAAGAGATATTTTTCAAATGACTGTTTTCAACTGTTCAGGGCAAGATACGAGCATTTTGCAGTTGATTCTGAATTTTTATTTTTATTTGCAAATCAGAAAAAAATGAAGCGGCGAATCCGTTAACCAAGAAATTAAATTGGTGTGGCCTAAAGGGCCTGCCAAGTTTATTACTGTTTCTATTCGTTATTGAGCACGTTAAGAAGAACATAATATACTAGTATATTAGTTTGTCAAATTGTTCATGTACAGGTCCAGCCATGTTCCTACATGACTGTAAACCCTTTTTGACCAAAAAATGCACATAGTGTCACCAGGTGGTACTTAGCAAGCTCACCTTGGCCCTTTTGGTAGCACCCCTGCCCTAGTTGTTCAATGTCCCTTGAACTGTGTTTACTCATGGGTTTTTCACAGTCCGTTGAGTGCTGACAATGCTCCCTTTTATGTCATTAAGAAACAATACTGTCCCACTAAACCAATCTTATTCAGTCATAATGCAAATAATACAGTCCTTAGCAATAGATTTTAAGTAACAATCTTCCACATCAACCTCTGCTTGGAGAGTAATGTAGTTACTAGT